TCTTGCTGGACAATGTCGGTGGCTGGTGATCTCTAGGTTAGTCAGCAGAATGTAGTAACTGATTTCTTTTTTATCTTTCTCAGCAATCATGTTCCACGGAAGAGCCCCAAGTATTTGGCATTGTTTAAAAATTCTGTGAGGTAATAAAATACTTTACTAATGCTCTTAATTTTTCAAGTTTTTATAATACATTCTTTTGGTTATTTTGTGGGGTGGTTATGTGAATTAATTAGAAAGAAAGGGCCCCTCCTTTGCTTAAACTTCAGAGTTTCGCTTGGCTTAGTGCAGTGTTTATGTTATGTATTCTTGACTCTTTCTTAGTGGAATCAAGCTGGCCTGTACTTCCTGTACCTTTGTTACCTCTGTGGGCGATGCCATGGCCAAGCATTTGGTATTCAACCCCTCTCACAGATCGAGCAGCATTCTGCCACGGGGTAAGTAAGGGAGATGGTGGGAACAGGGTGCCAAAAATATGTCATAGTATGAATCTGGAGCATCATTCTCTCGCCTCACCCTTTCCTGTTGAGATATATTACACCAAATTGGAAACATTCAGACTTGAAGTTTAGATAAAATTGGGAAAGTTGGCCATAGGAGGAGTGTTTTTGTCTAATAGACTGAAATTCAAGGAACCTATATTGGGGAGCTTCACTGAGCTAACATTTTTGTTCGTTTATTTATTATCTCTTTCTTAGGGTTCACCTGGATGTCTCATTCAAGGTAATGAAAGCTTACTTCATAATTTCTGTTCTGCAGTGTGTTTGCTTTTTTTATTACTGCTGATATTACTGAAGTTTCCTTGTTAATAGCTGATCTTCCTTCTCTCTATACTCTTCACCTTTCAGGCATGGACAGGCCCGTGACCGAGGGCATGACAGGAACCTGAAGAACATGTGTTCCATTTCCTCCTTTACCCCCACCAAAGCTGCCACTACGAAACCTGTGGGTGCTACCCCAGCTGAGTCTGAGGAGCTGCCTGCCTCCATGGCCCAGGCCCTGCCATCGCCAGCCTCAACAGCGACCCCTCCACCAACCCCCACTCAGCCACAGCCATTAGCCCTCCCACCCTTAGCCACAGAGGTGGCTGAATGTCTGAATGTTGATGACCAGGATGAAGGGAGCCCACTCACCCAGGAACCTGAGCCAGCATCAGGTGGTGGAGGAAGCAGTGAGGTGGGCAAGAAGGAGCAGCTGTCGGTGAAGAAGCTGCGAGTAGTGCTGTTTGCCCTTTGCTGCAACACAGAACAAGCAGCCGAACACTTCCGAAACCCCCAGCGACGCATTCGGCGTTGGCTTCGTCGTTTCCAGGCCTCCCAGGGGGAAAATCTAGAGGGCAAATATCTTAGCTTTGAGGCAGAAGAGAAACTGGCTGAGTGGGTGCTGACTCAGCGAGAGCAACAGCTGCCTGTAAATGAGGAGACTTTGTTCCAGAAGGCCACCAAAATAGGGCGTTCTTTGGAGGGGGGTTTTAAGATCTCCTATGAGTGGGCTGTGCGCTTCATGTTGCGGCACCACCTGACTCCCCATGCCCGGCGGGCTGTGGCCCACACTTTGCCAAAGGATGTGGCAGAGAATGCAGGACTCTTCATTGAATTTGTGCAGCGGCAAATTCACAACCAGGACTTACCCTTATCTATGATTGTAGCCATTGATGAGGTCTCCTTGTTTCTGGATACAGAGGTACTAAGCAGTGATGACCGAAAGGAGAATGCCCTTCAGACAGTGGGCACGGGGGAATCTTGGTGTGATGTAGTATTGGCCATTCTGGCAGATGGCACCATCCTCCCTACTTTGGTTTTCTATCGAGGACAAATAAATCAGCCTGCTAATGTGCCAGACTCCATATTACTAGAGGCAAAGGAGAGTGGCTACAGTGATGATGAAATCATGGAGCTATGGTCAACCCGGGTGTGGCAGAAGCACACCACTTGCCAGCGCGGCAAAGGTATGCTTGTGATGGACTGTCATCGCACTCACTTGTCAGAAGAGGTACTGGCTATGCTTAGTGCCTCTAGCACTTTGCCTGCAGTGGTGCCAGCAGGCTGTAGCTCTAAAATCCAGCCTTTAGATGTGTGTATTAAACGAACTGTTAAGAACTTCCTACACAAAAAATGGAAGGAGCAGGCTCGGGAGATGGCAGATAATGCATGCGATTCTGATGTTCTGCTTCAGCTGGTGCTGGTCTGGCTGGGTGAGGTCCTGAGCGTCATTAGGGACTGTCCAGAGCTGGTTCAGCGGTCCTTCCTTGTGGCTAGTGTTCTGCCAGGCCCTGATGGCAACATTAACTCACCCACACGCAATGCTGATATGCAGGAGGAGCTCATTGCCTCCCTGGAGGAGCAGTTGAAGCTGAGTGGGGAACAGTCTGAGGAGCCCTCAGCTTCCACTCCCCGACCCAGATCATCTCCTGAAGAGACAGTGGAGCCTGAAAGCCTTCACCAGCTCTTTGAGGGAGAGAGTGAGACGGAGTCGTTCTATGGCTTTGAAGAAGCTGACCTAGATCTGATGGAGATTTGAGTGTTGGAATCAGAATGTGTGAAGTTGGGGGTGGGAAAGTGAGGGAGGGTAGAGGGCTTTAGGGAAAGGGGGGTATACCAGGTGGGGTACTTGATTTATATTTTTAATTTTATGCCACCACTCCCCCTACATTGACTTAAATTTCCTGTGAATTTGTGGATTATTAGGAAAAATGTAGTGATCACGTCTGAGCCAAGAGCTTGGCCCATTGGTCATTCAGTTCTGCTAAAAACAAGTTTTTTGTGACTTTTTAAAAAAAATTTAAATCACTGTGTTTGGTATTTTTCTGAAAAAAAAAATCAAGAAAAAGAAAAAAATCTTTTGTGGGCAAATGTTAAATTGTTTTGGTTCCCATTTACCTCAATTGTATCATAGTACGGAGTTTTTGTTTTTACTGTGTGGCCAATGTCTTTGGGCATGATGCTATCTAATCATTGTCAATGTGAGAGCATTTCTGAAGATGGGAAAGACAAACATGTAGCTCACAAACTGGTTTATTATATATATGGATAAAATTTTTTTCATTTGTGGTCTTAACACTTTATATAAAAATGAAAATGGAAAAAACCCCACTGAACGCTTTCTTCCTTCTCCTACCCCTCCATCTCCAGAGATGATGGTTTCTACAGCAGCTCTAGATACAAAGTTGTGGCTTTAAAAATGCATGAAACCACCTTTAATTACTCAGAATGATGAACAGATTTGTCTTTTCCCTCCAACAAAAACATGACAAAAACATTTTTTGCACTTGATACCCTTCACCCTTTCTCCCATTCTCACATCATCACTCTGGACAAAGGATCATACATGTGTCATTAGCAATCAAGAAGTATCAAGGTGATTAAACAGAAGTTAGGGTGGAAAGCATACCCCATTCGTGTCATCATGCAAGCCCCAAGGGTAAGCCCTGCTTCCGTGAACCTCATCCTGTTAAGTGACAGCATGCCTGTTCAAGAGACCCCAGGCCCTACAGCCAGGAGCTTGTGCAAATGCTGAATGTTGAATTTAAAAGCAATGACAGATCATTTGTTGAAATCCTGCTTACCAACTATGATTTTCCCCTATTTCTCTTATGCTTAGAGAAGAATCTGATACAAAGAAGAAACATGGGGGGTATGCACAAAGCAAAAAGACATGACTATTTTTCACTGCCAGCCTCAAGGAAAGAAATTTTCTACAATTTGCATGAGGAATTTTTTTTTTTAAAAGTATGTGCTTATGGTTACCAAAATGTACTGTACAGACAAAAAGTACAAAAAATGAAGTTCACCTTTTCCCATAGCCATTTGTCCATCCTGAGGTGTCAGCAATGTTTCCACCTCCTGTGAGCTGAGGCCACCTGCACAAGCTTGTAAATGGTTAATCTTTAAAATGTATATAAGTGGAACATTTAATAAAACAAGGGAAATGCATTTATATACTTTTTTTTTCTAGGTGACCCTGTTTAATAGGCCTTCACAGATAGGGAGTTGCTCAAATGTGATGGGCCTGGTGGGACAGGTGACATTTGTTGCCACCCACTTGCTCCCAGCCCTATTTTTTATTTTTAACGCCCCCAGCACACTATAATATAGTGAACTGGAGCAGGCCCTGAACAGTGTGGCCAGCTTTGTGTGAACCTGTGGCATCTGGAAACAACAAAGGATCCACCTGGGCATCTCTTTCCCCAACTTTTTGCTTGATGCTATTTTACTGACAGACTGGACTTTGAATCCTCTGCCTTTGAGAAAGTTTAAGAACTAAGGTCACTTCTGTGTATAGCCTACTCTTTGGTAATCTCCACAGCAACCACAGCCGTAGTAGAGTTGTGATGCTGTGCACTGCACACTGACTTTCTGGATGGGTTAAATTTTAAAAGATCGTAATACCAAAAGTGATCAGCTGGGTTTTGGCCAGGAAGTTGTTTTTTGTGGACTCTGCCTGCATGGCTTAGTACTAGAAGGAAGGTTTTTTTGTTCTGTTTTTTTATAATTCAGTTTAATCAATAAACGTATTTATTGACTACTTTCTGTGTTGAGACTGTGTATGTGGAAGTATACAACTGAATGTTCATAGCTTGGTTTTGCTTAAATTGTTCACTAACTGCTGCCTAATCACCTTCTCAAGGATTGGAGAGAATATGGACTAGTATCACTAAACCGTATTCATTGAACTCGGCTAAAATCAGGTGGCCTGGATCTCATAGCTACATTTGGAACTTTTAATGAACACACAGTACTTCGGCCTAAGAGGGCAAACCTTTTAGGGCTTTCAGCAATATAGTCCATTGCAGCACACATGCTCTGGGTTTGCCACCACGAGGCTAAGAGTTCTGTGAGCATATAGTGTAATTTTTCATCTTATAGTCTTGCTATGTAGTTCAGGCTGACCTTGGACTTGCTATACATAGCCCAGGCTGGCCTGGAACTTGCAGTGATCCTCCTGCCTCAGTGACAGTGTAACTGTTGACCTCACCTAGTTGGACAATAAAGTCACTCAGTAAGCACTTTAAAGGACTGCTTTATTTTACAAAAAGTCTATCTTTGAACCAGCCAAGTCCAAAGTTAAGGGGTGCAACTTCAGTATCTTTGAACCAGCCAAGTCCAAAGTTAAGGGGTGCAACTTCAGTTCCGAATAATGCATCTGTATTTCATTAAAAGCCACTAAAAAAGAAAATTGCATTAAGTAGCATTAAAATTGTGACACACAAAGGGGTCAATTCCTAACAGCACCTGTACCCTCCAACCAAAACCTAGACTAAGAATTTTCCTTCAGAAAAGTCCAGTTTAGCAAGCCAAGGAGTCCCAACTCTATACATTTTTTTTCTCCTACTGTAATTTTAATTTTAGTCACCTGATCATGTGGGCAATATCCCAGTTTGTCTCTGCAGACAGCGGTCCCTCTATTTCAACACCTTTTTCAGTTACCGTGGCAATTTCAAACTGAAAGAAAACAGCTTTCCTTAAATTAAAGAGGCCCTTAGGATCTGGTCAAAAGTCAAGCAGTTGTCCCCTGTCTGAAAACGGGAGTCACAGAGGCAATCTGTCCTTTATGTCGTATGGACCACCCAGAGGGTTCCAAGTAAGTATTCCAAGCCTGCCAAGGTTTTTACTCTTCACTCCTCACCCGGTTATATGAACGAGCATCTCGATAGTACAGCACTCGCATGCAGCGTTCTACTAGTTCTCGGGCCTCAGTCTGGCTCAGCACTGGCTGCTTCTCTAGGACTTCCCGAAGCAGAGGCTAGGGAGATCAGGGGAAAAAAATTAGCTGATAACATGTAAACAAGAAGCATAAACATGTGAAAAGATGATTTCTAGTTATTGTCTCACTGAGATGCTTACTAAGACCCTTGAAGTTCTAGGGCAGTGGTGGCAAACCTAAGGCAAATGTGCCACGGCAGGTTGTGTGTACCACTGAAAATGCTAAAAGATTGCCCACCACTGTACTAGGGCATACATTCTGTACACCTGTCTGCTGAATCCCAGGCATGCCACTTTGCCACTGGAATGTCAGGGCTAACATTACAGCTTCCTGATACAAAGAAAACAAAAAACAAAAAAAAGCTGGCTTGTCCCTCATGAGAATTCTAGGGGCACAAGGAACCACTAACTCCCCTTACCTTTTCCTCCCCACTCTCCCTAACCACTGAACCCACTTCTTACCTGAGCCAAGTATGCACCATAACCAGTGGCCAGAGAAGGGGCTTCGTAGGCTACACCAAGCATGTCCACATAACCAAGGAAGCTAACAGGACACAATGGGTCAAAAACTCATTTCAGTTTCTTAGCTGAAGAATGGAATAATGCGTCTGAGTAAAGGGTTTCACCAGGGGAAGAAGCAAGAAAAGACACACTACACAGGTGCTAGGCTGGGTGATTAAGGAAATAAGTTATTTGTATTCATATCAACCTCTCTCCATCTGCATAGCCTCCAATGACCATGGTGTTCCACAGAGGGTTCATCTTCGAGCGGCGGCTGTACATGGCCCTTGTCAGCCAAGAATGAATAGCTCTAGGGCTATAGCTGTGTCCATCTCCCAACAATTCCTCATCAATCCTTAAAGGGAATTGGTTGTGAGAAAGGGATGAGAATGGAAGTCAACATCACCCACCCCAAAAGACATTACCACCTATTCTGCTATAAATATATTTTCAACGTCCATCAATTCTCTCAAACCATTGCTGCAGCTTCAACTGTTCCCATTCGATTTAAGGGAATAAAACACTCCTGAACTAGTCTGGAGTTCCCACTTCGAACTACTCCCTATTCTCCAGGCGACTTACACCATCTGGCCGAGAACTTGCTTCAAATACTGGAAATCAGCGTAGTCTCCAGAGGCACCCAGAATAGTGCTATCGTTGACTCGCATAATGCGAGAGATGTTTCGGAAACGAGCCAGAGAGCCGTAGGAGCCCAGCATGTCTGCTGCAATCACCACTCCGCCCTCGAATTTGACGCCGAGGACCGAGGTCCCGGTCACCATGGGGTTCCTAAAGTGTGAAAAAGGGCTCTAATCTGTCTTTCCGGGGCTTGGGGGTCCACTTCTCATTTTCGATGGGTCCTTCCAATTATCCGCATTCTCCGGGGCTCTGCCTGGGCCCTTTACTGCTCGCGCCCCCCCCCCCCGCCCCGCCCAGCCCGGCCCGCCGGGCTCGCAGAACCGGCAGCGGCCCCAGACCCCACGGTCCTTCCCCCGACTCAGGCCGGGGCGCTAGACTTACTGGGTCCGCGTGATGGGGTCTCCGGGGAGTGCGGACGCTGGATCCAAACAGGAAGTGGGAGTGGACGGTACTCGGTAGAACTGACCTGGGGTCGGACCCCCAGCCCAGTGCCCACACCGCGACTGCAAAAACGCTTCCATCTTAGTCACGGTAGGAGAAGTGAAAGCGCTTGTTCCGACGGAAACGGAAGTAATCTTCGGTGTTACACTTTTCTTCTTCCTGAGAGCCACCTTAAGGAGCCATGTTGATGAGGTCATGTCCGAAGGTACCATTGTCCTGGACAGGGATTGATTGAGATGCAGCGGTGTTTTTTTTATCACAAAGTTTTAAATTTTGTTGTAGTCCTGTTTATTTGTTTTTTGTGAGTGACTTTCGTTTTTTGCCCATACTTTAAGTATCATATCCAAGAAATCATTGCTAAATGCAGTGTCACAAAACTTTCTCCTTATATTTACGCCTGAGTTTTCCAGTTTTAGATCTTGCGTTTTGTTTTTATATAGAGTGTAAAACAAGGATCAAATTTCATTCGTTTGCATGTGCATATCCAGTTCCTACCATTATTTGTTATAAAAAAAAATTGTCCTTTCCTCCATTTAATTGTTTTGCCGTGTTGTAAAATGATCACATCCAGGAGATTTTATTCTGGAGTTTCTATTCTATTCCATTGACAGATATATCACCATTTCAGTTACTGTGGATTTATGCTAAATTTTTGGACGTGTTAGACCTCACATGATTTTGTTTTTCACACTTGCTTTGATAAAAATGGCTTTTCAAAATTTTATTTTTGTAAAATATTTCCATTTGCATGAATTGACAGATATTTTCTTTTGGAAGTTTAAGAGTCTAATTTAGTTGTCTTCTGGCTTCCATTATTTTTGTTGAGAAACTACCTGTTACTTGTACTGTTGTTTCTTTGAAAATAAATAGTATTTTTTTGTTTGTGTTTTGATACTGGGGACTGGACACAATGCCTTGGCACTGAGCTACATCCTCAGCCCTTTTTTGTGACTCTTCTGCATCAGCCTCCCAGAGAGCTGAAGTCATAAGCATTCACCACTATTCCCCCCTGTGTTTTGTTTTGTTTTAATCTGAATTCTTTCAGTATGTTTACTAGGTTACTAGGACATGGCAAGGCATGATCTCTCTTTTTTTTTTTTTTTACAAGAGGGCAAGGTTTTATTTGTACCTACACAATCTGCTTTCGCTGACCTTTTTTTTTTTTTTTTTTTTTTTTTTTTGAGACAAGGCCTCGCTGTGTGGTTCAGGCTGGCTTTGACTTCACTATGCACCCCAGGCTGTCCTCAAACTCACAGTGAGCCTCTTGCCTCAGCCTTCCTAATTACTGGGATTACAGGCCTGTGCCACCATGCTGACATTTTTGAACCTGTGGGTTAAATATCTTTTATCACTTTTGGAAAATTCTTAGCCACTGTCTCTTTGGACATTAATTTCCAATATTTTTTCTTGTCTCCTTGTGAGACTCAAATTGTGTCTCTGCTAGATATTTGCTCATGCAGCCATGTTTTATGCTTTCTTTTGTTTTTCATTCTTTTTAATATCTGTTTTGGTTGGGGAATTTTCTACTACTTGTGTTCAAGTTTGCTAATCTTATGTTTGGCTGTGTCTAATTTGCTGCTAAACCCATACACTGAGTTCTTAATTTCAGATTTTGTATATTTTTCAACACTCAAATTCCCAATTGGTCTTTTTTTCAGATTACATTTTCTGTTTAAATTATTCATATTTTCACCTATATGTTCGTTGTTTTGTCTGTTTTCCTTACTACAACGATAAGTCTAGATAGCTTTTTTTCAGTGCCAGAGGTTGAAACCAAGGCCTTGGGCATACAAAGCAAGTTCTCTACTACTGAGCTCCCCAACCACTATTTTTACATTTTTAAGTGCTAACTAATAAAACTGCTACTCAAGTTATGACAGTTTAACTTACAAATTGTATTAGTCAGCTTTCTTATTGCTGACACAACACCCAGAACCGACAACTTAAAGATGTTTCTTTGCTCATAGTTTCAGCCCATTATTGGCTGGCTCCAAGGCAAAGACATTATGGCAGAGGTGTGCGGGAGAGGGAAACCGCTTGGTTAATACAGGGTGTAATCAGAATAGGATAAAGAAGGTGAGCCCTGGAGAGATGGCTCCTATTAGGGTATGGGGACCTGAGCGAAGTACAGAAAATATCTTCATGAGTGGATGGTCACAATGAAAGTTGAGCCAGAGCAAAATGAGGAGGGCAGTGGAACAGAGGAGGAGATCGTGGTAGTAATAGGAGATTAGTCACATCATAGGTTAAGCCATTATTTCATCTTTGTGTCTATCAAGATTGGAGCTGGGCCCCCAGCATTTGAGAGGCTGAGGTAGGAGGATTGTTGCAAGTTCAAAACCAGCCTGGGCTACAGAGTAAGCTTAAAACCAGCCTGAACTGCGTAGCAAGATCCTATCTCAAAAAGAAAAAAAAAAAAAGGTTGGATGGCTCTTTGAACCTGGGGATGTTCCTCTTCCCTATATTCTGTTCCGTTGATCCAGTGTCTCTGTGTCTGTACCATGCTATTTTCAGTTTTGTAACTGTAGTTTTGTATTGTAACTCGATATTTGGAATTGTGATGCCTCCTGCTTTGCTCTTGTTTCCAGGTTTGCTTTTGCTATTCTAGTTCTCCTCTGGTTCCATATAAATTTTAGGATGGTTTTTCTCTAATTCTATAAGTATGCTGTTGGTATTTTGATTGAAATTGCATTAAATCTACATATCAGCATTTTTAAAATCAAATTTGATTGGTACATTTTAGATATACATAAGGATCACATTCATCATAGAGAATTTGTACCTGTACATGATATAACTTTTTTTCCCCATTCCCCTGCCCTCCCTTCAATGCCTCCTTCCTTTCCCATTTATAAAATTTTTGGTTTCTATATTTTCTTTCTTTTCTCCCTTTTTTTTTTATTGTTCTTTCCTCTCTCCATCCCCTCTCCTTTGTTCGCCTCTCCATTGGACTATTTCTTCCTATTTTGCAAACCTATTATACATTTTGGTCATTATTTACACTTTCAGTTTCTCATACCAGAGAATCAATGCACTTTTTACACAGTGTCCGTATATCAACTTTTGAAGTAAGTCTATTTCGATAATAGAGCCGTACCTCGGTTCGTGAACTTAATTTCTTCCATGATTCTGGTTGCAAACCAAATAGGACAAGAACCAAATTGTATTTCCCCATAAGGTCAACATGAACCTAATCACTGAGTTTGATTTGGTTCTCGCCGAATTTGATTTTGACCAGAATCATGGAAGAGTTAAGTTGTACACTGAGGTACACTAAAGCTGTCTTTTTTGTTGGGTCCTTGTCTGGTTTTGGAATTAGGATAATGCTAGCGTCTAGTAATGACTTTGGGAGTTCACCTTCCTTTTCAGTTTCATTAAAGAATTTGAGTATTGGTGTTAGATCTTCTCTAAAGTTCTTATAGAATTCAGTGGTGAATCGCTGGGACCTGGGCTTTTCTTAGTTGATAAGTTTTTTACTCGTGCTTTAATTTTGTTACCCATTATTGGATTATTCAGGGTTTTTGTATCTTCTTGGTTTGGTTTTGGTGTAGATATGTATATAGGAATCTATCCATTTATATTATCTAATTTATTGGAGTACAGGTTTTCAACATAGTTACTAAAAACCTTCTAGATTTCAATAGTGTCTGTTGTGATTTTGCCTTTTTAATTTTTTTAAAGAGGATAAAACCAAGGAAAATAAAACAATAAAATCAATAAAAATAAACCAGAATAAGTGATACAGGATTTCTAAGCCTTATGAAATCAATAATAGTTACCACAATGCCTTTGTTGTCTTCAAAATAGCTGCAGATACTACCATCAAACATATTAAAATTCGAACAGAACAGAATAGAATGCAATAAAGGACATCAAAACCGCCAGTAGTAAATACATAATGGCTTCCATAACACGTCTTGCTATCTTTTAAATAGCTGCTTGTGCCATCACAGTTAACATAAACAAAGCAAAAGAAGACAAAAACCCAGACCAACAAAACAGTGAAAATGATATGGTTTCCTGGTCAAGATCTCCTCCCTCTGCAGTCGGCAAATGGGACTGATTCACAGAAGGAGGCTTGGGTCTGGCTGGCCTTCTTAAATTTTTAATTGCATTGATTTGAGTCTTTTCTTTTTTTGTTTGGAGGGGGTAAGATTGGCTAAAAGTTTGTTTGGTTTATTCTTTTGAAAAATCAGTTCTATGATTCACCTATTCTTTGTATAGTTTTAGTGTCAATTTCATTAATTTCTGCTCTGATCATTATAATTGCCTTCATTGTACTAGCTCTGGATTTGGGTTGTTCTTGTTTTTCTAGGACCTTGCAGTACATCATTAGGTTATTTATTTGGGCTCAGTCTGTTTTTCTGATGTGTGCACTCACAGCTATAAACTTGTGTGTTAGGACTGCTTTCATCGTGTCCATAGCTGCTGATATATTTTACTGGCTTTATCATTTGATTCTAGGCACTGTCTAGTTTTTTTTGATTTCTTCTGTGACCTGTTGATTAAGAGTGTATTGTTCAATTTCAATGTTAGCATAGTTTCTGTAGTTTCTTTTGGCATTGATCATCAGTTTCACTGCACTAGAATCATACATGGTAAAATTCTAATCCTTTTGCATTTACCTAAACATAGTTTTTTGACTAGTATGTGGTCTATTTGGTAAAAGTTCCATGGGCTGCTGAAAAGAATGTGTATTCTTTTGCTGAGTGGAACACTCCATAGATATCTATCAGGTCCTTCTGTTCAAAAGTTTGGTTCAAATCTTTTCTTTTCTTTTCTTTTTTTTCTTTCATTTTCTTTCTTTTTTTTTTAACTAGTTGATCTATCTACTTGTGATAGAGTATTGAGATTTCCTGCTATAGTCGTGTTGATGTTTATCTTATTTTTTCTGTTCACTAGTGTTTTTTTTAAATGATAAGACCATAATACTAGGTCCGCTCATCCCTTATTTTTCTATTGTAAATCTGTACGTTTGCATAATTTTAGTTGGCTGAGCATCTCAGTATATTTCGCTGAGGCACACAGAAAGCAATCTATGTATTTATCCACTTGGTGTGATGAATGGCAAAGTGTATGCATGTGAGCAAAAGTGGAAAAACAGGCTGTTTACCCATGTTATGTTCTATCTGACTGGTTTTACA